ATATATATATATATATATATAAAAGTATGAATTTTGACAATATATTAAATAAAATAAAGAATATAAAAAAATAACTTTATAAATATATATTCTTAAAAACAGAATATAAAAAAAAATGAAATATAGTAAATATTTTTAATAATATATTTTAAAAATAAAAACAGTTTTATATATTTAATAAAAACGGTTATATAATATAATGAGGAATATATTAAAACAGTTTTATAAATATATTTTAACAATATATTTTAAAAATAAAATCAGATAATATATATATATATATATATATATATATATATATATATATATATATATATATATATATATATATATATATATATATATATATATATATATATATATATATATATAAATATATATATATATATATATATATATATATATATATATATATATATATATATATATATATATATAAATATATATATATATAAACATTTTTTAATTACTACCATTGTTCGAGGGGTTATCAGACTCAAAGTTATCAATGTGTGTGAGATTATTGGCCGTCAAGTCAAATTGGGATGTTCCTGATCAGTGTTTGGAACATTTCACAAAAATGATGTGGGATTTCACCGCAACAAAAGACAATTTTTTAAATATAATTTAATTTAATTTATTATACATTTAACTTAATTTTTTTTATTTTTTTATTGAATATATAAGAGGATTATTAGAAATTGCTCGCAAATTTTCAGAGTCATAATCCTCAATATATTCTGGAAGAGGGATAGCCGCTTCATCCAGATGTGGACTTTTATATTTGGGATCAAGTAATTGGCGGAAAAGACCCTAACGGTTATTTTTTTGGTGGTGGAAATTTGGCGGCCACCTTGAGAAGTGGGAATATAACTCTATTTCAAAGAGTTAGAGATGGGGAAGGGGGTCACGTCAACTAAATTTGACACCAGAATAACTTAAAACGGTAAGACAATTGATTTTAAATGAAGCGAGACGTGAGTCAGCGCAACGTGAGGCGGCAATGAAAGCCCAAATGGAGGCAAGAGCAACAACGAAAAATGGAGGTCATGGCGAAGAGGTAAGCTGATATGGAGCAACAAATGAGACAATTCATGCAAGGGTTTGGTGGAAATCCAAACTTTCGCGGTCAAGAGCTGGAGGATGACGAAAACGAAGATAATTTTGACATTGATAATTATGACCCGTAAACTTAAAATTTTTTTATTTTACTTTCAAATTTGAATTTGTATACCATACTAATTAATTCTTAAATTTATAATTTTAGTTTATAAATTTTATTATATTAAATTTAATATATTGAATTTATTATATATTGAATTCATTTTATATTAAATTTATTATTCAATTTATTATATTGAATTTATTAAATTGAATATATAAAAGAAAAACAAATTCAGTTATTAAATTTAAAAAAAAACATTAGTGACGTGATTTTCACGTCACAAGTTGTGACGTGAAAATCACGTCGCAACTCACTTTTTATATAAAAAAAACACAAAAGTTTAATACCCAAGAGTTGTTAAATGTAACTATTTAGTGACGTGAAAAACACGTTGCAACTAAAGTAACTATAAGCCTGCTACGCTTGCTTTCCTGCAGAGCTGTGTTTTTTATAAAAGATTGTTGCGACGTGATTTTCACGTCATAACTTTGTGACATGAAAATTACGTCGCAAACTATTTGCCACTCCCTCCTCAACCACATGAACGCACACGTCCCAAATAATATGTAGTGACGTGATTCTTCATGTTGTGACGTAACAGTCAAGTCACAAATAAAATATTTTTTTGTAGTGTGAACACATAAACTGTTTTAATTCTAAACAAATACAAATTAATAAAATTAATAGACACCTTTAAATTTTAAATATTAATATCAATATAAAAGAAAAATAACACGGCAAATAACATAAAATAATATATCAATTTATTATTTCATGCAACTACAAAATATACACGGAAAATTATGTGTTATTTTTAAAAAATATTTAAATGTGCTAATATGATAATACATGCCCTTAATAATCTTTTATAATTTAAAATAAATATTATAGAATTGTGTCGTTTATCAATTAATTTCAAATATGTTGTATCAATAATTTATAATTATGAGCTTTAATAAATTAGTTTCTCTTTATTAGGTTCTGATTTAGTTTCAACGTTAATTTTATATACGGAAAAATATATATAGTTGGTTCAAATACATTTAGAAATAGTGTAAAAAATAAAAGCAATATTTATACACGAGAAAATATATGGATCTAATGACAATGACAATTAGGATATCTAACTAAAACAAAAATAATTTTAATAAAACAACAATTTCTTATATATGTGAACAAATGCGCATATCAGACCAAAACTCGTGCGTATGCACGAGTTTTTTTTACAAATAACTCTTGATCACAAAGTAAAAAATTATTAAGGTAATGAAGACCAGGATAATCTAACTCCCCCTTTTTCTTTTAACACCATCACCAAATATAACATAACTATTGAAATACAAGTTGATGTCCTTCAGGCCGTTTCTTTTCGCTATCATATGTATATAATAACTACTATCAAAATACCAATATTCACAAGAAACCTTGAGGGAGATACGCGCAACATAAACTATGTTGGGAAGCCAAACTTGTCTATGCTGCATATCAAACTTCTCATTCCATTGAGGATATATTTTTTGGTGATGAGGTTGTCTATCAAAAAATTTATAACAGTACAGTCCAATGTGACCATATTGACCACAATGTTATCCAATCCACTAGATTCATCCATTGTAAATGCACGGACATTCATCTCATATATAACAAGATCTTTCTGCATTTACAGCAAGAGCATAATGAATCCATAAATTGGACTTACTTCATCTAGAAACATACAATACGCAGTCATATTCTCATCAACTAAAAAGGAAAAGAAACACTAGAGATCAACATCAAGGTAGAATACAAAATCTACATATAGTTTTAAGCATAAAGCAATTTAGATGAAGCCTTGGTTTAGAGAAAAGATTTTATGAATATCATTTTCGAACAACTATCATTTATGCAGGCTGAATACCTCGGCAATATTTGGAAGCTTATAATTCTCTCCCCAGTCAAAAGGCAAGCTGTCAAACTCATATGTGCCCAGAAACTTAGACAACTTCTTGCTAATATCCCCAAAATATCTACGACCTTCAACTAGTTTTGCATAAGGATCAACAAGCACAATGCTTCTGTCAAACCGATGCCCCTTACCCCAGTCTTGAGATCCATCTATTCGATACCCGTACAAAACATTGCTCCCAGGAAGATCCTGCACAATGAGAGGTGAAAACAATATATTAACTAAATGTCTAAATGTGCATTTTGAATAGCTGTTCAGTGTTTGAATTAGAGAGAACCTGAGAATTCATTTTATTGATTGATGACCAAACGAATTCTTGTTACATGTGATGAGCCTCGGATCTATATTTATAGACCAGGCTAACACTAATAAACAAATACAGTCAGCATGCAACAGTTGTCACTGCTGTAACTAACTGAATTAACTAGGGGAGAAATGATCATATACAAGCGAGCCGTACACTCACATTTGGGAGGAGAGGAGTTTAGGGAGCTTTGTAACAGAAATATGCACTAACTCTGCATAATCGGAGCAATATTGAACTTGCATAAAATGGAAGAAATGAAAATATGGAGCCAACGAGCTTGTAGCTCAACAGGCATCAACATCAGCCTCTAAAATATAACAGCATTATCTAGAATTTGTGCAAGGTAAACTAACAACAGTTCAGGTAAAGATATCTTCGACAACGGAATATGCTATTACAGTAATTGATGTTTTCCAATTTTAATACGCAATGTCTTCTTCAATGTATTTCCTTACCCATGTAAGTTTCTGCTTAATATCATAAAGGTGAGAAAAAATCTCATCAAATTTAAAATGGAAAATTTTATCTATATATTCATTATAGTAAGACTGCATGAAGTTTGATTCCAACTACTTTCAAAGCTTTTAATGAGGTGCATCGGTATTCAACTCAAAGACATCTCACATACTTCCATCCACTATTGTCAGAACATATAAGAGTAAAGGCAAATAGAATTCACATTTGACTAGCCAAGAGAAGTTTTTGGCACAAGAATAATGCACTTGAAATAAATCATAAAATATACAAAATTTATACTCAAATAGACAGAAAAAAAATGTTATTTATCTATGCAATTATGAAAGGTACTTGATAATTGCACAAATTGTATTTTTTTTAAGTACGCTACAAAGCATATAGCAACAATTTCAATCAAAAACCATGGAAAGGCTATAATCAGGCACAGGAAGTATCACAGAAAGCACCTCAATACATATGTGCCAAACATCCCCTGTTTTGTTTAAATGAGGGTCCAAAGCCAGTTCTATCATACCACCATCCAGTGTATCAATGCTTTCCCTAAAATACATTATAAAAACAAATATAAATTGACAAATCAAAGATCTATCTCTTGACAAATCAAAGCAAAAATTTCAATCCTTAATAATCAAGTAGGTAAATGAATCCTTAATAATTTTGGCCTAGCCTAGTCACAGGAATACCTGTCCATCGGCTAACAACCTCGGCTATTTGGTCCGGTCCAACTGTTTCTGTCAACATTAAGTTCTCATCGGTATTACCATCAGTGCTGCCTTCAAGGTTTTTTATTGCAGTTTCCACCTCTTCAATTGCACCATATCGTAGGTCTGCAGCTCTGGCTAGATCATACCGCCTCTCCGCCTCTTGTAGTGCAAAGATGAGCTCTTCACGTTTCTGTTTCAGCCTTTGAATCTCATCAATCCTCTCTTTCTCTTTGCTATACTTCATCTTCAGAGGTTGAAGTTTGTCTCTTAAATCGTCAAGTTCTCTCCGCACCTGCAAATAGCATCAACAACTAGAATAATTGAATTACTACAAATACACAAGAAAGAAATGTTGTCTTGTACTATAAAAAATTTGATTAAGCGAGTTATTTATCAATCAATGAATGAATACATGTTCACGGTCAAAAAAGAAAAACTCAGCACCCATACTTACATCTACTAGACGAGCTTTGCTAGCTTTGTCCTTCTCTTTCTCTAGAGCATGAAGCTCTACTTCTAGTTGCATTCTCTTCCTTTCAAGGTTGTCAATTTCTTCCGGATGACTATCAAGTTGAACTCTCACATTTGCACATGCCTCGTCAATTAAATCAATTGCCTTGTCAGGAAGATGACGCCCTTAATAAATACAAAATACAAAGATATACCATGTTAGTAAAACCACAACAACAATCAAGCTTATCTAACACATAAGTAATCAACATCAAGAGAAAGAAACATCAATAGAGCATAAAGAGCATACCAGTTATGTACCGACTAGACAACTGAGCTGCAACAACAATAGCACGGTCTTGAATTCTAACACCATGATGACCCTCATATCTCTCTTTAAGCCCGCGAAGGATGCTAACAGTATCGGGCACACTAGGTTCAGCCACGTAAACCTGCTGAAACCTCCTTTCAAAGGCTGCATCCTTTTCAACATACTTCCTATATTCATCAAGTGTTGTAGCACCAATGCATCTAAGTTGTCCACGAGCAAGCATAGGTTTGAAAAGATTAGCAGCATCCATTGATCCTTCAGTTCGACCGGCACCAAGAACAAGATGAATTTCATAGATGAAAAGAATAACTTTTCCTTCAGCTTCTTCCACCTCCTTCAAAACAGACTTCAACCTCTCTTCAAACTCTCCCCTATACTTAGCACCAGCAACTAATGCACCCATATCCAAAGCAACTAACCTAACATCCGCAAGATTACTAGGAACATCATCTCTAACAATCTTCTGAGCCAACCCTTCAACAACAACAGTTTTACCAACACCTGGCTCTCCTATAAGAACAGGATTGTTCTTAGTCCTTCTCGACAAAATCCTAACAACCCTTCTTATCTCTTCATCATGTCCAATAACAGGATCAAGCTTCCCCGCTTGTTCAACCAAATCTCTCCCATAAGTTTTCAAAGCTTGAAAATTAGTATCCCCAGAAGCACTCTCAACTTTCTTCCCCTCTTTACCACGAAGCTTTTCAACCTCTAATCTAACCCTAGAAGCAGCAACGCCAGCTTCTTTAAACAAATCTCCAATCTGAGAATCCTCGAGAATTCCCAAAATCAACTGATCAACGGCTAAATGAGTGTCACCCCGTGACTTCTGCGCAGCTTGTGCTCTCCTAATGACTTTAATAAGAGAAGTGCTTCCGGGAACTTGGTCTGGTGGAGGAGATTGGGAAGGAAGTTTCTTCAATGCTTGTTTAATAACTCTTTCGATGGCACGTGCAGATTCTTCGCCACCAACATTTGAAATAGATTGGAAAAATATACTAGTGGGATCAGAAATAAGAATGGAAGCAAGGTGTAAAGGAGTGATTTGAGCATGTCCTGAAGTTGACGCTAGTTCATGAGCACCAACAAGTGCTTCATTTGTCTTGTGAGTAAACTTGTCCGGATTCATTTACCTACATAAAAATGGTTCATATTTCTAAACCACAAGTATCATACAAAAATCCAAGACAAAGATATTACCGACTGAAACCGTGGCAAAGCGTATGGTCAGAGGATGGTGTCGTGGATCTGGCGGTGTCGGGTAGCGGAGGCTTGGTGCAGATGAATTGATGGTCAGATTAGTGAGTTGGGTGCGGTGCAGTTGTTGAGAGGTGCACGATTGTTGGTTGACGAGAAACTGTCTGGTTGGTGGTTGTGGAGTAGCCGGTAGTGCGGATATAGAAGTGTGGAGGTGTTACAGTTCTGTTTGGTGGTCTTGGAGGAAGAAAAGTTGCGGATTGGATAAGCAGATGATGAAGGAGCGTGAATCGGTGGTGAGTTGAAAAAAGAAAGATGGAACGGTTGAATGAAGTTGTTTTGGCGGAAGCTTGTTTATGGTGAGGAGGGGAAATGATGGCGAGTTGCAGGGGAAAAACGGTGTTGGATGACTACCGGAGGGAGTTATATCGGAGAGATGACAGAACAAAGGGAGTAATGGAGTAAGACATGGGGAGTTTGGGAGGAGACGAATGGAGAAGAAGATGAACAACGATATGGGTTTAATTTTGTGTTTCTGGAAATCTGATTTAGGGGTTAGGGGTTTAGAAATAAATTAGCAAACCAAAGGCAGCGCTTTCAAGAGGCGCTGCTAAAGGTACCCCCCTTTAGCAGCGCTTTAGGCTTACCCCACCTTTAGCAGCGCTTTTAGATTTACACAAAGGCAGCGCTTTCAAGAAGCGCTGCTAAAGGTACCCCCCTTTAGCAGCGCTTTAGGTTTACCCCCCTTTTTAGCAGCGCTTTTAGACTTACACATTTAGCAGCACTTTTTGAAAGCGCTGTCTAAAGCATACCCTTTAGCAGCGCTTTTATTAATTTTTTAATTTTTATTTTTTTTAAAACCCTATAGCAGCGCTTAGGGAGAAAAAGCGCTGCCTTTGATAAGGCCTATAGCAGCGCTTTTAATAAGCGTTGTCTAAAGTATTTTTTTTTGGATACCTACAGCAGCGCTTTTGCATAAGCGATGTCTATGTAGCGGTGCCAAAACTCGTTTTTGGCGTAGTGATCCCAAAGAAAGTTTGGTGTAGACAAAACTAGTGCGTTTATAATTATATTTTCAAGAATTTTGAAACTTGTTAACTCACAGTGTGAATTATGTTTTCTAAATATGAGTAACATGTGTTTTTTTTGAATTTGAAGGCTTACATGCATCTCACACACCTTTCATGTATTTTATGTGATTAGTGAACGTCACACTATTATTTGCTTGATCAGATTCACTCTTTTCATCTATCTTATCATTATTGACATTCCAACCTTTTCTTTGTTTCCTTAAAAAACTTGGGCATTCAACCTGAATGTGTCTAAAATATTTGCATTCATGACATTGGATCCCTTTTCCTATGTACGAACAATTGAGGTTTTGTCTTTCACCATCTTTTCCTTTACACTAAAAGTTACAACTCTTGAAATTTGACATGGGTAACGACATTATTCCCAGTATCATATTCTCAAGACCTTTCTCATGATTTAGCAAGCACAATATTTTCTCATGACCATTCTCATGATCTTAACAAGCACGAGACTTTCTTCAGTATCATATTCTACTTAGTCTTTATATCCATTCTTTGGAGGATTATTAGTACCATCAATAATTTCTGATTGATTAACTGATCCTCCTTATTTTGGAATATCCATCTTGAACATAATAAGAATCATGGAACACACCCAAATAGAACAAGGTGTCAGCTCTGATTCCAATTGAAATAATGTTCTTTGAATGACAAAATGTAAGACACAATGATGGAACAATGTGTATGACAAGTTAAATGCGTAGTAGACATAATAAAGTCAAAATATAAATAACACAAGAATTGGTAACCCAGTGCAGTGCAAAATCACCTACATCTAGAAATGACCCAATGAAAGGAAAATCATTCTTAATAGTCAGAATTACAAATTGGTCTAATTTAAACTCTCTTAGCTCAATTCCTCTTTTCCTAATACTACATGTGAATTTCTATTAAGGTCTCCCTCTGAATCTGAGACACCTCTCACTTTCACTTGAGCACTCTCCCAAGTAAATCATTAAGTTTCAAAGATGAAAGATAAAACTCTAATACAATTCAAAACTCTATTCGGCTCAATTTGATTAAGATTAAATGTTTATTTAAACAAAAAACATACATAATCAAACAAATCTTCATTATGATGATTGAGATCCTTGATTGATATAAATCTTGAACAAATTAGAACACCAAATGCAATCTTTCTAAAAAAATTTAGGATAAGTCTTTTCCAGACAGAAAAGGAAACCAAACTCAAAAGCGCGAGATATACTTCAATCAACATTGTGTGTCAAGGAACCATTTTGAGACAGGATGTCAACTAAAATGTCTAACATTTTGCTTAACATGTTTCTTTCCATGAATCTTCATAAATCCAATTCTGAATCTTCATTAAAACAAATCCAACAATGCATTTACTTGATATAAGTAAGAATTTCAAACTCTCATGTAGAGAATTCAAAATACAATCTCTTATAAAACAGAAACGCACTATAAATAATATTTAATAGAAATTGAAGAACTTGTCATTAAATTCAAATCCAAATATTGTAACAAAAACAAATTCAATTAAATATCTTCATGCAATATTTTTTTAATTAAATATTCAATAATATATTTGCAAATCCACTTCAACAAAATTTAGGACCGGCTCAAATCATTCCTTCAAAGCATATCCAATTAAATCTTTTCTTCAAAGCACATCCAATTAAATATTCTCACTCTATGCAAATACAATTAAATCTTTTCAATATGATTATGACAATTATCCCCTTTCTAACAAAAAACTTTAGCAAACAAATATATAAACTCTTGAATAAATAAAACATTATTGGATCACAAAAGTAGGAATCAGTCGTAGAATCAAATGAGCCAAAATCAAGTTTTCTATAAACAATCTTCTAGATCATATCTCAAAAGCACAAACACGTCACATATCACAACAGAACAACAAAATTTCATTACCGTGAACAACAAAAATAAAAAAATACAGTATATTAGAGCACACATAACACATTGGTCAAACCAGAGGAAAAAGGTTGAGATGAAAAAGCGTTAGCAAATTTGAGAGTCCATATTTTGATAATAAATTTACTCACATGTGTAATCTTGAATAAATCATCCATTACTGGATCACAAAAACTTGAATCTATCGTAGAATCACTTGCAAATCAGAAGGTCCATTACCAGTTTAACTTTTTATAATTGTCATTATAATATTAGTAAAAGAAAATGTTCTCATATGATTTTTTTAATTAAAAAGCCGACTAAATACATGCTTGAAACTTGTTTAGTGAAATACGACACATGAAAATCGAGAAGCAAAAATGATCAGTTTGATTTTTGGAAGATTTCAATTATCTCTTTATTAGCTAAGGAGATTTGACATTAATTTAACATTGCTCCTATATATTTAGGAGTTGCATTTTATTCCAAAAATCCAAATGAATGTTACCTGAATGCCATGCTTTGAGTTTGTCAAGAGTCATGAGTTATAATAAGAAAACCAGAAACACTTTGTAACAAGCTAATAATAATAGAATGTAATGTAACTAAGGAAAAAAGAACAAAATATAAGAGTTACTCTTAATATTTTTTGTATTGATAAATGTACAAGTAGCTGTATACAATGTACATAAATATTCCCATAAAGCATGATTGATGTAGCTAATAGATGGTAAATGCAAAATCAATCATAATTTAGCTTGATTTACAGATTTTAGGTAACATAAGTACTTAAATTTAATATTTAAGCAGTGGGATAAGATGCTTGCATTGCAATGCCACATAGTCCTTCAACAGCATCAACTCCCATTTGCATCCTAATGTATCCTTCTTCACCCCAATCAGTTCCCCATGAGTTTTTAACCAACCAATATTTGGTTCCATCACTGCCTATACCAAAACCTACGGCTGTGACACCATGATCCAGCTGAGTTCCACATGAACCAGTAAAGACACCACTTTTGTAAAATTGAAAGTCAGAACCACTAGCATCGATGGCTACAGAAATAGGTTGATTTGCAACAGCTTTTTGCAGTGCCTGCTCATTGTTGGCGGGAACATCTTCATACCCAGTAATGGTAGCCGCTTGGGTGGATGCTTGGTTTGCACTGCACGTTCCATCAACACCTTGATAGGGGTATTGAGCTTCCGTGCTGAGTCCATGATTTTGAATGATGAATTTGAAAGCATCATCCATAAGACCACCTTCACAACCTTGGTCCACACCTTTTGTGTCACAATCAACAAGTTCTTGCTCTGATAAAGAGACCAATTTTCCAGTAGTCAACTGATGAATTCCTTCGGTTGCTGCAACAGCAGAAAATGCCCAACAACATCCTACAAAAGATAAATTGATATATTAACTAGAGTTTATGATCAGATAATAATGATTTATTTATTAGATAGACACTTACCACATTGTCCTTGATTCTTCACAGGTGTGACTGCTCCTTTCTTCCTCCAATCAACTGTGGATGGAACGGCACTTGCATTTTCATACTTAAAAGTAGATGTTCTTGTGATTGAGGAGCACATATGCCCCTTGAATTTGTTTCTAGAAGCTGTGAATTCGTCGTTGGTGAGGTCTGCAAATTGATTGATGCCTAGTTTGTATGATTTGTTACTGTCAGCATTGTTGGATGATTCAATGTATTTCACGTTTTGTGCGAATATCTTTAGACGACTCTCCCTTTCTTGAGAATCCTTATAGACTTTGCCATAGTGACTCATCCATTGTTGGTGCCTCTCATACATAGAGTCGTCTTGGAGGGTGCGAGAAGTGACTTGGAGAGCACACAATCCCAAGCAGAATATGAGTGTGAATGCAATACTATTAGCAGCCATGGTGTGTGTGTCTTTGAGTTGATTAGTTAGCAGTTAAATGTGTGTGTATAATCAATGA